AAAACAATGAGCAAGTTTTAATAAAGGCAATGGAAAAATAATATACTTGTGTTTGGAAATACATTTAACAAACAGATCTTCTTAAGTAACCAACTATATACAAACCATTAATTACTCCCACAGTGCGAACACAATTCAAAGTGCAACAGTCACAATATTCCAAGTATAACCAAATGGGGGATGAGTAGGGAGAGAGGGAAAGGGAGTTAAAGGCCAACATAGCCCTTGCCTCCAGCTCCTCTTGTCCACATGGGTTCTGGGGTTGAGCACCACAGTTCAAAATTCTCAGGCAGATTGCAGGGCTCAAAAGGGCTGGTCTCCCAGATGCAGATGTTCTCGGTGGCCAGAGGGTGAATCTGGGAACACTGCTGTTGGAATGCAGATGTTAGGAGTTGCTGCTGGTCCCAGTAGCCACCATTCTTCAAGGGCTGAAGGAGATGGCTGGAACCCAAATTATGGGACTGCAGGGCCTGCTGGCCTAGCTGAATCACGTTTTGCCGGAGGGCAATCTGACTCGGGATAGCATCCGTGAACTGCCTCAGCATCTCGTCTTTTTCCACGCTCTCCTTCACTTGGGACAGCTGCATTTTTTTCTCCCTCTGGATTCTCATGTACAGCCTCCACCTCTCAGCCAGCCTGGTTTTCCCCTATGACTCTGCCACGAGTTCAGCAAACATCTCATCCCGAGTCCTCCTTTTCCCCTCCCTCAGGTTGGCCAGCCTGTCAGCATGAGATAGAGGCCCTTCCTTGGCAGTCTGTCGCAGGTGCTGTGGCTGTAGGGAAAAAACCCAGTTGCTTATTGTTCATATCCCAGAGAAGTCATGATAGCTTTTATTCATATGGATATGCCTCCTTGAGACTCTTCCCATTCTTGGGGGCACCTCTGCGATGGTAAGTGGTCTGCATGTACGGACGGTGCTGGGTGCATTTGCACTTCAGTCTACTGTGTCTGCTTTCATGCTGGTAGGGGTGGCTTGATCGGAGCTACGTTCCAGATTTTTGCAGTTTTGTTTGTGCTATGGTGTTGGAGGTGTAAAGAGGGGACTATGGGGGGGGGGCAAGCTGAATAGTAATCCCTTCTATATCCCCTTTAGGCCATCCTGACTCTTGGTGACATTTCACAGAGGCGGATGATCAGGAGGCAGAGAATGGTCTTATTCAAAAAGGCAAAAGGGAGACCAGCAAGATATGCTGTGAAGTTAGTCACCAAGTTTTTCACCCCCCAAAAGCGCTGGAGGAGTGGAAGGGTTTGCAAGCTAGTTCTGCTAGATCTCCCCTGCAGACATGGAGAAACTGCTGGGGAAAATAGAGTCATGCAATCGTTGTCAGCCAGAATGCATGTTATGGGGCATTTGTACTTCAGTGGGCAGCAGCATTGTTTGTGCCTTGAGCAGACATGCAACGTGCACTCATACCTAAGGCTAAGATTGTGTCATGGAGATCACAGAATCCGCAGCCCCGCCCCCGCAGCTCCCAGCCCCTCCCCTGGTGGGCAGACCCCCGCAGCTGCCTAGCCACGACAGGGGGACCCTGCAGCTACCAGCTGCCCAGGGGCAAGGGAACTTTGCAGAAGTCCAGCCCCGCAGGCAGGGGGACCCCAGAGCTCCCATGCACTGCAGGGCCGGGGAACCCGGGAGCCCCAGCAGCAGTGAGTGCTGGAGCCGCCTCCCCCTTTTGTCAGGGATATTTTTAGTGAAAGTCGGGGACAGGTCATGGGCCGTGAATTTTTGTTTATTGCCCGTGACCTGTCCATGACTTTTACTAAAAATATCCGTGACATAAACTTAGCCTTACTCATACCTCATGTAAACTGTGCAAACGAACCACATTTCTCTTCCTGTAAGCACTGTCTCAATACACTGCTGAATTCTGCACAAATGAATGCTTTCGGTATTCGAATCTGCTGGGGGTGGGGTGTTAAGGGAGCAGGACTGAGACTGCACTATGCTGGTGGGTGCCATTTTGAAGCAGCACAAAGGAGGGTTTGGGGGAAGGCGGGAACTAGTAGCTCACATCTGCCAACAATAATAATAAATTTCGAAGATAGGTACTTACATGCCGAAGTTTCTTCCATAAGATTGGACTGTTCAGTCCAGGCCTGGCTTTCTGGCTGGGATTTGGGCTCAGCCTATTCAGGGCAGGAATCGGTCCATGGTGGGAGGTCAGGCCAGTGGCAGGCTTTCCAGCAGCTGTCGTCAGGGTCCTGAGTCCCAAAAAGATCTTGGCGGGCGGGGGCGGAGGTGCGGGGGACAGCTCCACTCCGGCATCCTCCAGCTTATCCTCTGATGGGTTGAGCCCATCATCCTTGGAGGGTGGGCGGGGGATTGTGCAAAAAATGGTACATAGCAATTGTGTGCACACGAATGAAAGGCGAAACCAATTCAAAGCGAACACTGTTCACTTTGCAAGAGGACTCCAGAGTTCCGAACAAATGTGGCATCAGTATGCAGTGATATGTTGCATCGTGTGTACGCAAGCATTTTCAGTAGGTGTAAGTACAGAGAAACTCCAAAACACCAGATTTACACTGAAGTGACTGATGGCAAAAGATGTCCCAAAGCCTTTAAACTTTTCCCAAGCCATCTGCTTCCTTAGAGAAATCTTTTTAGGAATAGTCTCCTCTGTGCCCTTACTTTTGACCTTGTGCTCAAGCTGTCGCTTCTATTCAGCTTCCGCCTCCAGTTGGGTCAGATTTCAGGTTGTTTCTCCTGTGAACATCTATCAGCACTTGCCCTGTTAACACCCTGCATTCCAAGTTCAGGTTATTTTAAATTAAGAGCAGGTTTATTTGAAAAAGTGAGACTCAAAAAATGAAAACTAAACTGAATAAAAACCATGACTAGGCTCTTCCTGTGCACAAGTGCGATGAACAGACCAGATATTGTAGTTACAATTTATTGATTAAGCTTTTTAATCCAGTTTAAAGCTTGCTTATCCCTCCTACCAGCAGCATTCTGTTGGGTGCATCATCTTTGTCAACTTCTTGTCAGATCTTCTTGGAAGAAGACCTTTAGAACCCGTTGTTTACATAGGTAGTTGGAGCTTTTTTCTCAGGTTCAACCATCTTCATTAACAGGTTGAACTGTTTATCATCTGTTTCTCTCAGAAGTCAATATGCAAGTAACAATTATACTTTGTATATTTCAGCATTTTTGGTTATGTTCATTATCCTTTGATATAAAATCTTCTCCTTCTCCTCCATGTTTGTATAGTGAGTATATCAGAGAGTATCAACCCATTAAAAAGATCTAGTCAAATGTGTTAACAACATTGCTCCCATTTCTAAAGTAGTACTGTCCTCCAGGTTGTTGCTTGAGCCAGTGTTTTCTCCACTTTTAGAGGAAATTTCATTAGTAATTGACTAGCTTCCTCAGTTCAAGAAGTCTTATAACCATTTTAAAATCAGTAAACTGAGGAACAGACAGCTTGTGAGATTTACTGAAAGTCACAGTGAGCTGTGGGGAGTTGGACCCACAAGCTCTGACTATTGTTCCATACTTTGACTAATACACTCCTCCTCAGGTTAAAAAGAGAGTCCAGATTGGCTTGTTTTATTGGTTACTTCCAGCTAGGATCTAGTAAAAAGAGCAGGATCTACCAAATATCCTGACTATAGTACACCAAATTTTCACCAAGTCCTCAGTAAAAGTGAATATTGCAAGAAAACAACAATTTTAGTCCAATTCTGCTTTCCTTGCCTCAGTTGTACATAGACATAACTCTACTGGGGCTGATACCACTTTCATCGATATACAGCTGAGTAATTCCACTGAAGTCACTATTATTTTAAAACCAGTGTGTGGTGAATCTGGCCCATTGACTTCACCTGAGTTACTTTTTACTGCGCACCAGAGTACTTAAGGCAGAATCATCCCATTGTTTCAGCGTTCCCTGGGTTTGTTTGGAAAAAGCCAGAGTCTGCCTGGTGCCAGTTTGTCAGCAAACCAGCCAGCAAAAAGCTGATTTATGACAGGAATAAGGGGTGCCAGGAAGCACTGTGAGCAACAGCAAGTGATGAATGGGCCCAAGACTGACTGTGCTAACATCCTCACACGACAGATTCTACAGATATAGGTTTGTTTGCTGCTGCCTACAACAAAGGCATGTAGGAGACATCATAATCTAATGGATGGGGTGCTGGACTGGACATCAGAAAGCCTGGGTACTATTCTCGGCTCTGCCATTGAGTGACTTTTGGCAAGTCGCTTGTCTGTGTCCCTTCCCGTTCTTTGTCCTGTCTGTAAGCTCTTTTGTCTCATTATGGGACTGACCAAAGCCCATTGAATCCAATGAAAAGTCTCCCATTAACTTCAGTAGGCTTTGGATCAGACGCTATGTGTTTGTACAGCTCCCAGCACAGTGGGGGGGCTGATCTCTTTTGGGGTTTCTAGGTGTGACTGTGATACAAATAAGAAATAATAATAATTATACACATTCCTTATTTACAATATCTTCTCTTCCACTTTCAAAAGGCTTGCTTTTTCAAACATTTTACCAACTCTTTTTTCTGCTGTGGAACTAGCACCCCTGGCTCTAGTTAACGGTAAATGTAACCAATTGAATAACTTTGTCGATTCGTTTTTTCATAGCTATACGGTTTCCTGAAACAGTCATGCCTGAACTGCTAGTCAGCAATAGACTCAAGGAGTTGACTTCTCCAGATGTAATCTAGAAAATGCTTATTCTTTATACCCTGGGATTGATGAGAGGTGATTTATAGCCACAAAAGCAGAAATACACTACAGTTTAGCAGGCGAGCCAGCAGAATAATCCCACTCTCTCAGTTCCATAGAACTGGAGGCCTTAAAATGAAGGATGGGAAGAGAGCAAATCTGGCCAGGTGACTTAGTTCTAGAATAGAGCTGGACTTGGGTTCAATTCCAGCTGACTACAATGAGTAGTGATATATTAATAGTAAACAAATTGGAATAAAAATCAAAACACTCCTTCAAGTAATCAGGTGTCACTCCCTCCCTTGGACTGAAATGTCATAAACCTACCAGCTCTGCAGGAGTCCAGGGAATCTTGCAGGGTAAATAAGACTGGAATTTCTAAGTTAAAAAACAAGCAGAGGAAAAAAAAATCCTTTCAGACCTTCTTTATACATTAGAAAGAAGCAAGAGGGTACAAGATCACTATACCCCCTTGCCATTTTTACAGGTCCCTTTTAACATGTTTTATAATACAGACATTTCAGTCTGAATACCAGGAGATGTTTACATGCAGTTTACTCAGAGCAATCCCATTCATTGAAACTGCTTAACGATGTGTAGCACAGGTTACATCTGTCAGACACCTCAGCGACATGCTGTGTAAAGAAAAGGATTAGGAACGCAGCATTGCTTAACAACTAGCTTACTGGAATGTTCCCGAGTGATTTCCCCAATGGCTTAGCAAAAAATAATGAATATTTCACAACAGTTAAAAAAAAGAAGGAAAAATGTTTTCATAAATATCATAATATATGCTGTTATTTCAGTTCCCTGGTAATTCAAAACAAATTTAGTATTTAAAAAAAGAGAGATTAAGAGAGAAATTTTAAGAGACAATCAACACATTTAATGCCAAAACATGATTTCAAAATAAAAGGCTGCTGACAGAGACGTGTAGTTCTTCAGGGACCAAAGGCACAATATGTTTCCTGCTGTGTTAAGGTACTGATAAGTTATCAGAGAGGAAAAATATATTGCACAATAAAATGAGAGGTAAGGCAGCAGCATGTGATATAAAAACCCAGAATGAGTAATCTGACTAGAAGAGATACCAGCCTCATATTTTATATGTGGCAGCATTAATGTTTTCCTTACACCTTTCCGCTCAGCAATTTGCTTTTAATTTTTCGTTAATCTTCACATGGTGCCTAATCAAACACCAGTTGAAGTCCCTGGATCAAGTGCTACAGGCATAACCACGAGAACGAAATGTTCTAATCTGGATTAGAAACAAAATCCAGAAGCTCTGATATTTCACAAAGTAAAAATATTGAATCCCAGTGGAGAAATGGTGTTACTGTTTGGTTAACGGTACATCAGTTTTGTAGTATGACAGGGAAAAAACAGATAAGCAAAAAAAAAAATATTCCTTTCTTTAAATTTAATTTCTTTAAAAATCTCTTCACAGTAGCCTGCTAGTGTATAAGATAATTAGTTCCACTTTTCTCTTAGCAAAGCAATTCAGTTACTCCCTCTCTCAATTCTGAGATGCTATCATTAAATTACAATATAAGGAATCCAACAATTTGTGAGTTCCTGACTCATGCTATTTCATAAAATACATGTTTATTTATACACAGAAGAATGCATATGCTAGCTCAACATTGTAGCCCCAAACTAAGTAAAACATACACAGCAACAGAATAGTAGTAATTGCAATTCAAACAAAGCTCCATGTCAGGATTAATTTAAAGCTTAATTGTAAGTGTGCAAAGCTTCCACGTATCACCTGATCACATAAGTAAATGAGATGTTGACATATTTAATGGTAGTACAACTAACCATTAAATTCTAATACATTTATTTAGATTTAAAATAATAAAAAGATGCCTATCCAAGGCACGAGATGCCCTAACATTATCAATAAAACAATAAAATTGTATATGAAAGTAATTCAGGTGCTAGCCAGGAAAAAAAAAAAGGTTTCTAAATACTATCTCAGTTAAAATCAACTGCATCTGCACCCACCATATACCAACATGATGCTTAGTGTGTGTGATTTGAAAAGCATGCCATATTCTGTGCACACAGAGTTTGATTCTGATCTCACATTGGTTTAAAGCCAAAGTAGTTACTCCAGTGCAAGTGCAGAACTGGGCCCATGCTTGTTCAGAATTCCCAATGGAAATGCTTTTTGTGTGTGCGAATTAATGGTAACATTTTTCTTTTTTAAAAACTCACCCTCCCCGATGTCAGTGTCATTTGCTGAAGTTAAAGAAGTCAGCAGAGAAACGGTCAGGAAAACAGCAAAGAGCATCTTACACACTACAGTCAGAACTGGAGATCCCTCAAACAGCTCAAAGTCAGGAAACCCTAGTATCTCTTGCCCTTTCAGTTGCTTTACTTGGCTGGAATAACTAGCTCAATGGGGGGTGAGTTTCCTCAAGACTTTTACATTGTGGGTAGGGTTTTTTTTTTTTTTTTTTTAAAGCTCTTCACAGAAATGACCACCTCCCAACTAACGGCTGAATGGGGTCCTGTGCCCAACAATGGGATTCCTAACGTGCACAGAGATAGTCAGTGGAGACCAAGATTACTCACAAACCAATTTCTACCTAGTTTAGTACTGAATTCCTCCAAGACAGAGCACCCACCCACCCACCACACACACGCATTTTTGTCACGTCCTATAGCAGCAGCATAACTCATTCTTTATTAGGCAGGAGTCTAACCTCCCTTATACCTCACTCACTTCATTTATTGCTTTGGTGTTTTATATCCTTGCATTTTGCATTGCAGGCTGTTAATGGGAGCTGTAAATGGCACCAATCCTTGTTGGAAACACATAACAAAGGAGCACAAACTGCTTTGGACTATCTCCCCTCCCCCTCGAAAATATAATGATCCTTTGAAGAGAGGCAATTTTTTGATGAAGGAAATTTTTTTTGTTTTTTTTTGAATGCTACATGGAAAATCATAGTTTCAAGATTCCTATTAAGAATGTGTATGAAAGAACAAAGGTCACCTGGCCACCAGTTACTAGAGTTGAAATATTTATGATACAGTCCTGTTGTGAGCTACCAAAGGGAGCCAGAATCCCGCTCTGCAGCCCGTACGCTCCTGTGCAGTGGAATTGCAGTGATTCTATGCTTTTTAGGCCTTGTGCTGACCCGAAAGTTTGCAAGGTGCAAGATTTCATTTTGTGGGGGACAGTTGTGGAGTTTGCGGCCTCATCCCATCAAGATGTCTGTACAGTCACTGCAGAGAATGACTTGTAAGTCTAATGCATCTGTTTTAAGGACAAAGTCTATCATTTTATTTTGGGGTGCTATACATTAGTACTGCATGGTTTTGAGCTATTACACTCACAAATCTGCAGTCTCGGTTTGGCCAACAAGTGCCAGAGTAGTTATCACATACATTGTTAAAGTACCCGTCGCTGTGGCAAACCTATACAAAAGGGGTCACTTTCCTCAACAGCTGCAAAGCCCTTTACATTTCCAGTAATTCTGTTTGTTTCCACTAAGAAAATAACTATAGTCTTGATTATAAATGCAAGTAAAATATGGCTTGATAAACATTCTGCTTTTTATGATCCTTATTGCCAATGAATGTGTTACATATGAAAAACACATTATCCTTTTCCTATTCATTGTTCATACCTCAGGGCTGGATCATTCTTACTATGGAAGAGGACCTTGGGGGAGGAAATTGTTACAAGGATCCAATGGTCCTCCTCCATTGTTCTATCAAGAGTGGGTTCTGCCCTCCAGCAGGGTAGGCCACAGGACAAGCCCTGAACCTGACAGATGACCAGGGACCTATGGGAGGCCCCATACCTCTTCATTGGCTGAATGGGGCTCTCCTGGCTTGTTACCAGCTGCAAGGTTGCCTCCTTGTTACAGCTGCTTCCAGACCCAAGGAGTTGGAAGGGTTCTGTAGAAATGAAAATACAACGCCAAGCTATGTTTAGGTTTTTCTGGGACTCACCAAGAGACTGAGAGGGGACAACATGCATTCCCCCAGCTGACCCATTTTCCTTTCTCTCTCCTGATGTGGACCAGATCTACAATATGCTCCCCCTGGAATCTGGAGGATAGTGCCACAAAGGAAGCTAACGATCCCCCTTTTGATCTTGGAGCAGGTCATCTATACAAAAGAGCCCCTAAGTGCACAGAGCTGGGAGGCTGGTATCACGAAATGTCAAGGACAAATCCTACACTCTTTACTCAGGTTAAATCCCCATTGACTAAAGAGTGCAGGATTTGATCTGATGTTAGGAAACCATTGCAGAGAAAAGCTACTTGCTGTGCACCTGCATCCGTCATTCTTAAGCTTTCTTTCAGTGGTGTTGGAAGTAGCTAGCAGATACTATGGCTGGACTACACGCACAGCAGCTGCATACAAGCTGGTAAAGTAACAGTGTATGCCTGATTTAAGTGGGAAGAGGAAGAATTAACCCCCTTATTTGCCTTTCCTCTAGGCAAACTTCCTCCTTTTGTCACCAGGAATTGGCCCCTTGTTAATGTACATGAGTCTGAAAGCTCTCTCTGGGCAAAGACTTTGCATTCACGTTAGCTAGGTTACCAAGGTGATAAAGAAAAAGCCGTTCCCAGGAACCATGGCTCCATTTCAGTGTTGTCTCCATCAAATCCAAGCTACTGCTGGATTTAAGTACAGTCCCCTTTGTCTCACACATCAGATTCATTAGATCTATATATCACTATTTGTCCACTGTACTCATGTCTGGGCTGAAAATACTAATTTAGCTCCCAACAAAATTTAACAGGCTGAACAAACAAAAACCCACCATCAAAGAAGGAGCAAGAAAGATGTCAGTTTAGTTGCTTTTATGTTGCATCCTTCCCTCCCCCCCCCCCGTTTCCTTAGCTGCAGCTTGTTTCTTTTGGTTACAAACTTGTCTTATGTGTGCCCAAACCCCTTATACAGCAATGGCACAGTACCAATAATTGTAATTATTAAGATAATATTATGCAAGATGTGGGAAAGGGCCATGTCAATCAGAGTTATACACAGTTGTATGTGTTGAATATGTGTATGCCTGTGCAAGGTGAACTATACAGGAATGGCTCAGGGTTAAAGTGGTGGGGGAGGTAATGTACGTATCTTGGTATTTTTAAGTGTCTAGCACTTGAATACCTAAATAAAATAAACTATAACAATGTCCCAAGTGACTAAGGACAATTTAATTTTGATGGAAATGTTTGTTCTTATCTCTTTTTAGAAATGGAAACTTCATTTAAGCTGCTTGATGGGGCCAAGTCCATTCCTCTGCTTTTTTGAAGCATCCGATATAGTGGCAGATGTCACACATTGCTAGACCTTTGTGGTCACAACTTAAACATAGAAATGTGGGGCTGGAAGAGACCTTGAGAGGTCCTTAAGACCAAATAAACCTAAACCACCCATAGGCACCGACTTCCCCTCTGCCCGATGGGTGCTCTACCCAGCCCAGCCCGCCCCTGCCCCTTCCCACCTCTGCACTGCCCTCACCCCACCCCCATTCCACCCCTTCCACAAAGTCCCCACCCCACCCTGCCTTTTCCCACCACAGCCCCACCCCCATTCCACCCTCTTCCCCCAAGTCCCTGTCCCTGCCTCTTCTCTGCCTCCTCCCCCTCCCTCCTGGAAACTCCTAAGCACCGCCAAACAGCTGTTAGGGGGTGGGCGGGAAGCACTGGGAGGGAGGGGGAGGAGCAGGGATGCGGTGCACTGGGGTGGGGGGAGAAGGAGGCGAGGAGGGGGAGCTTGGCTGCTGGTGGGTGCGGAGCACCCGCTAATTTTTCCCCGTGGGTGCTCCAGCCCCAGAGTACCTACGGAGTCGGTGCCTACGATACCACCCCTACAGATATTTGTCCACCTGCCATTAAAAACTTCCAACAAGAGGGATTCCACAACCTCCCTCGGAAGCCTATTCCAGAGCTTAACTACTCTTCCAGTAAGAAAGTATTTCCTAATATGTAAACTAAACCTCCCTTGCTACAGATTAAGCCCATTGTTTCTTTTCCTACCTTCAGTGGACACAGAAAACAACTGACCACAGTCCTCTTTAGAACAGCCCTTAACATATTTGAACAAAATGTTATGATTTCCCCTTCAGTCATCTTTTCTCAAGACTAAATCTGCCCCATTTTTAAAAAATTTTCCTCATAGGTCAGGTTTTCTAAACCTTTTATCCTTGTTGATGCTCTCCTCTGGACTCTAATTTGTCCACATCTTTCCTAAAGTGTGGCACCCAGAATTGGACACTGTACTACATCTGAGGCCTCACCAGTGCCAAATAGAGCGGGACAAATTACCTTCCATATCTTAGATACAACACTCCTGGTACTGTACCCCAGAATATTACCCTTTTTCATAACTGCATCACATTATGGACTCATTCAATTTGTGATCTACTATAATCCCCAGATCCTTTTCAGCAGTACTACTGGCCAGTTATTCCCCATTTTGTAGTTATGCATCTGATTTTTCCTTCTCAAGAGAAGTACTTTGCACTTATCTTTATTGAATTTAATCTTGTTGATTTCAGACCAATTCTCCCAAATTGTCAAGGCCATTTTGAATTTGAATCCTGTCCTCCAAAGTGCTTGCATCATCTTCCAGCTTAATGTCATCTGCAAATTTTACAGACATACTCTCCACTCTATTATCCAAGTCATTAATGAAAATACTGAATAGAACCAGACCCAGGACCAACCCTGTTAGCCCCACTAGATACACTTTCCCAGTTTGACAGCGAACCATTCATTGATAACTACTTTTTGAGTATAGTCCACTTGTGTATACACCTTACAGTAACTTCATCTAAACCCCAGTTCCATGGTTGGCTTATGAGAATGTCACGTGGGACTGAGTCAAAAGCCTAACTAAAAATCAGGATATATCAGATTTACTGGTTCCCACCTAGGTACTAAGGCCAGTAATCCTGTCAAAGAAGGAAATTAGGTTGATTTGTCATAAACTAGTTCTTTAAATATCCTACAATGAATTTCATCAGGCCCTGCTGAATTGAATACATCTAATTTATCTAAATATTCTTTAACCTGTTCTTTCCTGATTTTAGATTGTATTCTTCCCCCCCTTCTTTCCTTAATGATTTTACCTAGAAATGGAGAGACAGGGTAAGAGTTGAAGAGGATTGAACAGATTATTGCATTTCTCAGAGGAGGTTGGTAGGTTTATTTCTCTGAAGGAAATGCTGATAATTTCTGGTAGCAGTGGGCACAGTTCTTAGTGGTGTAGGATCTGTTGCACATTGGGGTTTGTTTGTCAGGACCTCAAGCTTTGAGTGTG